CCACAGCGCGAAGTTGATGTATTTCCTCAGCGACCAGCACGGGTCAGCTCCAGGCATGACGAAGCGGATATCGTCCTCTTTTGGAAGACCAAACAAAGTAGTTTCGCTTTCACAACGAAACACAAGGCAACAACAATACTACAGCGAGAATAAAAGTTACGCCTTCTATCTTTACGTGAACATTTGGGCGGTGTTATGCAAATCTTCCCACATCTTGAGGTAGACATGTGGGGGCGTGTTAGAACGAGCCGTTTTAGGTAGGTGTGGCTGACTCTTAACTTTTATAAAGAATAACTCTTTGGATTTGAGACTTTAGTCTTTGCAACTTTACAGATCTTCTTTATGCACCAAGAGCTTGTAACACTCCAAAGAGAAAGGAAAAATTGAAATCGCATCATATGACCCCTTTAAATATCTTGAAACAAATCATCTGAACAAGGTCTGGCGTTAAAATTATTAGAGAAATAATGCTCTTTTATTGACTGAACGCAAGTGCTTATTGCGATAGAAAACACTGTAACGGTTTCACTGATGTAAGAAATATTTTTGTTTGCTTGGGTGGTAATATTAGGCCTATTATATTAATAGGGAAGGGGGCCCAAAAATGTGTTTTGCCTATGTGACGGATGTTAATAAGAGTGTGCACTCACAATCTAAATTAATGTATTTCACTAATGAGCCTTCCTTTCAATTTTTATGTATTTACTTTATATTAGTTGTTCACGAAAACGTGATAATTTAATTTTGTACTTTATTTGTGTCATTTTCGGAAAAAGAGTTTTATATTCATTTTACGTCGTGACGTCATTTCTGTTCAGCCCGCGCTGCGTCCTCAGACTGCATTGAGCACGCTGAGGAGAGGTGGGAAGAAAATCACAGAACGAAAACCTTTATCATTGTTGTACTCTCTCTCTACTCCATCCAGTATCTGCATGCTCCATGTTAATAAACCCTCCATCAGCAGCAGTTCCAGTGATCCGCCTCTTCATTTATAACACAACGCAGACCGCTTGAAAGCACAGAAAAGGGGGCCGGTTACACCTATATCACGAAAATAAGTAAATCCGGCCCTGGCTGCTTGGTAAAGCCTTGCAGTAGCTGTTCATGCAATGTGTGAGCAAGGTCTGCATTTCATGTTGCACTGTGGTTGGCTATACTCACAGCGGCCTCACACAGGTAATGCTCTTCAAAATTTCACACCCTTTCAGAATTTTAATCAGAAAAGCATTATAATAAACAAAACAAGATTTGAAAAAAAATCCATAATGCTAAAACAAAAAAGTAACATCCAATCGTTTTACTACAGAGTGTCACAAAATAAATATTTGTTATAGTTGCAGTGAGCATCTTATCTTTATTAATGAAGCAATTAGCATCAGTATAGTTTTCACCTGTCCATAATGGCATCTTTACGCACTCAAATTGTTCTCAAACTGCTTTGTATAAGTTTTGTAAGGGAAATGTTTTAGTAGAAATAAAACAATTCACCAAATGACCAGCGAAGAGAGCAGCGAAGTGTTCTGAGTCTCAGCTTAACCTTGCAAAATGGACTTTAGCAATACCATGGTACAATGGTGTATCAGGATTAATTATTATTACCAAATTCATGTAGTTTGGTAGTAGCATGCAGTTTGGATGTTTTAAATAATTTGTTCCTTTTTTAGCAAAAACTTAATATAATAAAATAATATATAATTATAATAACTACATATATAAAAAAACAAATTCATGTTTAATATATAATAATCATATATAATTTATATTAATAGATTTCATAAGCATAATGCATATTCTACTAATTAAGAAATGTGTGTTTTTGTTTTTTGTGTTAGATGTGTGTGTGAAATCTGTATGTGTAAACTTGCTTGTGTTGGAAAGAATGATTTTTCACACTGTGATATTAATAAATACTGTCAGACAGTCTTGTTGACCACACATGACATTTTATTGGCTATATCCACAGGTTTCAACTGACAGTCATTTCTGTATAGGACTACAAGTTAGTAAAAAACAAGTGTTTTTTTCTTTCTTCTTGTTCAAGAAATCATAAATGATGTGGGGAAAAAATGGCAGAAGGCCTTAAACAAAGTTACTTTTTGCCGTTGAAACTCACAGTTAAGAATCAATAATCAGATTTACACTCATCACCCCAAAATCTGATGTGTGCTTTTATGATTCGTCTGTGACCACAGCAAAATGTAGAATGTGTCCTCTGCTGCAAACTCTGTGGTAATGTGTGTCACAGTGGCTGTATCTTTTGCATTTCACAGATCATGAAAAGCAAGCTTCTCTATGCTTATCTTATCAGTAATAGCCCTCAGTGTTTTATTGTTGTTTCTACTAGCCAGTTCTGAGAAAAGACACAGTGAAGAACATGAAATAAAACTATTTTACATTCAGTCTAAACTAATATGAAACCATTAGCAGGGTAGAGAGGAAAAGAAAAAAACTTATTTGACATACCAGTTATCATAAACACATTTTGATTTAATGAATTACATTTCAGTAAATTATGTGTTATGACTTTGGTAGAACTGTGAGAATGTTACAAACAATGGGACAATTTAATAGGTCAGAAGTAATAATTAAAATAAATAATAAAATCAAATAAACAATCGAAAACTGAAACTTATACATGTTTTTTTTATACAAACCGATTTTCTTTTTTTCTTAAAATTTCATACTCAATTTTAAGGCATGGTTTAAAATATAAGACATGTCTCTGGTGAAAATGAAAAGTCAGTAAAGGAGTGAAACCCTTTAAAATATTTTGAATTAGCCTTTTTTAAAATGAAATATCATGGAAGACCAAAGTATGAAGATGTTGTTTCCAAAAACATCAAGGATGTCGGACTGTCTGCGGTGACATGTCATGTAATGTTGTTTTATTGTCTCTTGCTGAACAATACTTTGTGCTGATTGGGCGTGATCTTTATCATCATCATCATGGCTGTATGCGCAGAGAGACTAGAAAGAATGTGGCCTACAATCTTTTCTATGGCTAATGTAATAATTACAGTTATTGCTAGATACACTCTAACCTAAAATTGATCAAATCCAGAGACTCTTAATGTAAGTCCAGAAACAAGGTGTTATGTTGAACGTACATCAGCGGTGGTCATTTATTTTAATATATACTTTATATTTTGCTACTATGCCATGATGAACGACTGTGCAACTATCAGCATTTGTTTCACCTCACACATACACATATCCATTACGGTACTATTCACATACAAATCAATAAGCTTGATTGAGTATTTATCATCATGTATGGTTGAACTTATTGAGGTGAAAAGGATGATGCCCTGACAGTTTTCTTATCAGAATAATAACAAAATAATATCACATACAACATTCAGCTAATGGCTAATCCAAAAAATGTAAACATCAGAATCCCACCTTCGAGTAAAATTCTGGATAGAAAATGTTATTTAAAAAAAAGTTTTGCTAAATCCCAACTCCTCCCTACGCAGATCTAGCTGCTGCAGATCTCTAACTTTGGTTTGTTAACTGTTTGATAAAAACAGTACAAAAAATACTGCTGTATAAAAAACCGAATCAAGCTCTCAAGTCTCCGCATGAAAATTGCACAGCATTATTTTTTTAAATCTTGTTCTTCCTCGAAATAAAGAGCTGGTATAATAAGTATCGCCGCAGTTGCCGAAAGGCTCTCGTTTTTACTTTCTATGCTTTTTCCAAAACTACAGTTGGTACTGTTGCACTTCTAATCCAGTTCTATATTATTTATACCGTCAAGTCATCTGACCTTGCCCGACTGCTGGCTTTGCTCAGGCTGCTAAGCGGTCGCGTGTCTTCTATCGTCTCGCTGGCGTCCACATCTGCTTCGATGGCCAACTCGTCCTCGTCTTCATCCCTGCATACAATTCCCGCCGCCGCGTTCGGTCCTATCACGGTCGTCTGGGCATAGGAGGGCAGCGTTTCGTCATACACCTTAGACACGTCTTTCTTAGGTGCTGTCGCCTTGTCCGTTTTCTCCTCAAATGGCTCGTACGGAGCTGGAAGCCGGCCAGCCTCCATTCCCCCTACCTCAGTCAGAGGGAAGAAGTGCGACGTGGCTTTGTCCTCCTCCAGCAACTTGTAGCCTTTGGCTTTCTGGATCGAGGAGGACGCTATGGAAGGCAAGGCCTTCTCGGCCGCCCCTGGTCCCTCAACTTGTGGCTGCACCGGTTTACGGAACACAAAGTGGATCTTTTTCAAACCCAAATGGCTGATTTCCACAAAGTTGAGGAAAAGCGAGACGCAGGCCACGGCTAACATGAAGATGATAAACACAGTTTTCTCGGTAGGCCTTGAGACAAAGCAGTCGACTGTGTTTGGGCATGGCCAACGGCTGCACTTGTAGAGCGGCAGGATTCGGAAGCCGTACAAGTAGTACTGGCCCACCACAAAGCCTACCTCAAAGAGAGTCTTGAAGATAATGTGGCAGATATAGGTCCTCAAGAGAGTGCCCTCTAGACGGAACTTCTTGCTGCCCTTTGTGCTCGTCTCCTTGGCCGTACGGACGCTTCCCTGATCGGGCGCGATCGGCAGCCTCTCCTCATTCATCTCTTGCTGCCTGTTGAGCTCAGCCTCCTCCCGTTCCTTGCGCTTCTCCTCCATGTGTACGTGGTGGACAGCATGGCCCACGTACACCAAAGAGGGTGTGGAAACAAAGATGATCTGGAGCACCCACAGGCGAATGTGCGAGATGGGGAAGGCCTCGTCGTAGCAAACGTTCTCGCAACCCGGCTGCTGCGTGTTGCACACGTAATCCGATTGCTCGTCGCCCCACACGAACTCTGCGGCCGTGCCCAGGATGAGGATTCGGAAGATGAAGAGGACCGTGAGCCACACCCTACCGATTAC